CCTCTCCACTCAGTTACCATTCTGGACCTGGAAGAGGTCTGTGGTAGACAGGTTGGGCCTTTGCCAGAGCAAGGGCAATGGAACAAAGATACTGCTTATATGACTTCACTTTCTGTGCAAACAGCTCTGTGCAAGGTGCTGGTAATTAAGAGACACAGGAGCCCTAGCAGCACCATACCCGACCCAGAGAGCCCAGAGGGTGGAGGGATGGGGTGAGGTGTTCCTGGCTGTGGGGGAGGGGAGAGACTGACTGGACTCAGTACAACAGACCGTCTCCCTTCAAGAGGCTCTGAGTCTGGGGAGGTCGTGACCACAGCTCCCTAGTCCCTTTTGGAGGGACTGAGGATTTCATATGTGCCACCTGGAAATCCTCTGGGGAGGTCTAGGTCAAGGGCACCTGAGAATGCATTGATAAAGAAGATAGGAAGGTTCTCTGCCACTGAACCCCATCCACTTGTTGAAGGTCTGCTGCCTCCGCTTTCTCATCTGTAAATAGGACACAGACCCTGGCTCAGCCTTCACAGTGTGCTCCTGCTCTGCAGCCCTCTCCCTATGGTGACAGCAGATCTTCTGGAACACATCCCACAGCCTTGAGGCTCCAGAGCACAGGATGCAGAACTGAGATGGTGGGTATAGGGCAAGGTTCAGGTTGGAGCCGTCCTGCCCACACCTCAGAGCCTTTACTACAGACACCCTCGTTTTACAGCCCAGGAAAGGAGGAGCTGGACAATTGCCCACGGTCATGTGCTCTGCTGCGTTTCCAGATACATGCTTCTAGCGCTGCGCACTAACAAACTGCAGGAGGGGCGCTGGGTCGTTGGACTTCTGCCCCGTGACCAGTGCCAGAGCAGGACTCCCTGGCCAGCACCTCCCAAGCTCACAGTGATGGCGTGAATAGGGGCATCTCCTGACCTCTGAAGTGGCAGGGGCTGGCGTGAAGCCACCAAGCAAAGCCTGGAGATCAGCTTTCCAGAAGGCCACATGGATGGACAGACAGAGGCCAAGGCTTGGACAGGCGTCCCAGTGAGAGTAGAGGGAAGGTAGAATCTGGCCCTGGGCTAGGGGACAAGAAGGTAGGGGTAGAGGTAGAGGAATAGAGCAAGGACAACAGCCAGGCAGGGCGGAACCACGCGGGCATCGCCTGCTTACCACGGGCACTGACTGCAGGAGGCGAGGGCGTAGCCCCAGGGCTGCGGGCTCTGGGGCTGTAGGGGGGCGCCTCAGTCCCCGCCCCACCAGCCGCGCCGGGTCGCGCGTGGGCGCGGCGGGCACCGATTGGCTGGCGGGCACGCGGGCGGGGC